AGAAAAATAACAAATATTGCTTTCTCGAGGAAATGAAGGAAGCATACATCTGTCACCAATCTCAATATAAGGTCATACCAAAACAAGGTCTGGTCAATTGAAATAGAATTGCAGGATCCAGTTTTAGAAATCTGTTTCTTGAACATTTCCTCTTCAAATGGGAAGGCTGCAATCCTATCTGGTGACATTTTAAATGTTTCAAGTTTTTACTCTTCCTGAAAATACTTATTTTGACTATTTTGAGCCTTTTCTTGCCATTTTTATACCTGGAAGCTGCAATATATATGTATCCCTTATAGTTCTGGTAAATTCCTGCAGTTTTTCTTTCTTGTTAGATTATGAGACTGCATTATGGACAGGCAAGATGTGCAGCTAGAAGAGGTTCATTGGTCTGCTCTAGCGTAAGGCAAATTTTTATTAATGCTCAATAGCAGAATTTGATGGGCTTAGGGAGAAAAAAGGTGTTATATCTTCAGTCTCCAAAATATGCCTGCATTTTAAACAGACATGCAACACTAAATGTCCTGTATTTTATAAAATTTCGTGGGCACAGAGAAGATACCAGTGACTGGGCTGTCAAGTACTGTCTCCAGCTGAGCACCTGGAGCTGCCCCAGCCCAGCGCGCACCCGGCGCCTTGGGCTGAGGGAATCGCCTGCTGCCACCTGCCGCTCGCAAATGGAAGCGTGCCGTCCGCTCCTGAGCGCTTCCACTTCTTAATAATGCACCTTAAAATCCTGCCAGTTACGGAGCTGCTACCGAGTACAAATTCCTCGTGTATAAAAAGAGATAGAAAAAATCCGGAGACTAATACCAATGATGTTATTTTCTGGAAATTCTCAGGGATTTACATGTTTGTAAAATGCAACACACAATTCTAGGAGCTGCTACCGAGTAAAAATTCCTCGTGTATAAAAAGAGATAGACTAATGCCAATGATGTTATTTTCTGGAAATTCTCAGGGATTTACATGTTTGTAAAATGCAACACACAATTCTTATCTCACAACTGAAGAGCTGGCCTTGGTTTTCTTACCTACCTTGTTACCCAGATGATTATCTGATTATTTTTGAGGCCTTAAGTCTTATTTTTCAAATAAACAGACTATCATGTCAGAAAGGGAATAACACTTTCTTTTATTGTTAATGCACAAGCACTGTTAGCAGTGCTGTTGAAAAAAATTACTGATGAGGTTTTGTTTTGTTTTCCTCCTCCAAAGGCTTTGGGAGTTTCCAGTCAAAATGACCGATCAACAATAAAGAAAAAAATTAAGGATATTAAAAAAACACAGGAAAAACTGGAAAAGCAGAAGGAAAAGGTTCAAAAGAAGGAGAAAGAAGTTCGCAAGACTGGCAGAGTTGTGGCCACTCTTGAATCAAGCTGCTAAAATGACCATTTTATTTTAGTGCAGACTTGCCTAATCTTGAGGAAGTTCAGCAGATTTGTATATAATTGTACAATTGAGGGAGGAGGGAAAGTGCAACACTTCAACGTGGTAGGTGGTTTTTTACTTTTTAATTGTGGTCCCTCCCCATTACAGCCCAATAAAATGAAATAATGTTTTCAGTATTTTTATTTCTAGTTGACTCTGCCTGTACTAATGGACAATAATTTAACTTTCTGCCTTAAGTAATATTTCTGCTTCTAAGGTGTCATATACCCTTTTCATTGAAATTGATGTTTGTGAAGAGTAGAATACTGTATTAAAAATCATTCCAGTATTAGTCAACTAACATTTGATAGAGTTGAAGGTGATAGAGGGACAATAGAAAAATCCTGCCAACAAATTCAGTCTGTGACAGTCTGTTTTATCTGTTGCCACTAAAGATGTATAGTAAAAAATTAAGTTTAAGAAAAGGTAATGTCAAATTAATTTAAAAAAGAAAGCATGTATTACAAATTTAGGATTATTTTAATTCTTTTACTTCCAGAACTTCATTCAAAGTTCACTTTAGTAGCACATCATTTTTCAATTCTATGTGTTGCAATGTACTGAGAAAATAACAAGAAATACTAAGTAGTTTTTACAAACTACATATCCTAAGCATAATACTAAGTTTTCTGTACACTACCCATATGGTGTTGGGACAAGGTTTAAGCCTATAAATAAGATCCTTTTTAACCTATTTTTCCTAAATAATACATAGTTTTGTAGATTTATGCTATGAATAAGATCAATTTGCAATACATGTATTTCTCTTTTCTACATGCAACAAGATTTTTTGCGGACCAAATTTATATATTTGCTAATTTTAAACAATACTGTTTTTCAGACTTAAAATACTGAGGGGAAAATTGTAGGAAAAATTATCACTGACGCCCTGGGTTTCTACCCTGTATTTAAATGTTCAGTTGTAGACTACAGATTATTTCTCTTTAAAGGAGGATTTGATTCTTGAAATAGCTTAGAACATGACTTGGTGTTTTGTATATTTACATACTATTTTCTAGAGATACTACAAGAGCACTTCCTTAATTTAGATTATTCCAGAAACATAGACTAGATTAAATATCAGTTCCACCCTAGAATGGACTAGAACAAAACTTACATAGTTCGTTAATGTGGACCAAGTTCTCCTTTAAATCTATGGACTGTTTTTCATTTCCATTAAATGAATGAACTTCACTGTTGGTGTTTCACATTTATTATTTTTTTGTATAAATGTCTTAAGAATTTCAGCAAAAGGACTGTGTGGAAATGCTTCTGCACACCAAGCATTTCCAAAATAAAGTTTGAAAATCCTGGTAATAAATACTTTTTAAAAGAGATTATATTTCAGTTTTATGCATTCTATGGTCAAGATTTAACTTATTTACTTTGTTTACAGTAGCTTTGAGTTGTATGCCAAACTTACAGACCTTGAACTAAAGAGGAATGCTGCCCTACTGAGGAAAGAGAAAGGAATTAGAAGTATGGAATCATCAAATGCTCAGGATCTCCCATGTAAAACCACCATTTAATTAATTCAAGAAAGTTGAGTGTTTTCACACTAGCACACAGAATATTGCTAGAACCCAATATTACCTTTTTTCTTTAAGCATACTGTTGCACCCTGGGAAGAGTTTTCTCTGGAAAGAGACTAGTGGAAATGATGGTTTCAGAGGTTTCCCTGTGTGCAGAGCTGTTACAGGTAAGGAGGGGCCATAGCAGGGATGATAAATTCCCCTGGCACCCAAGCATGAGAGCTCTGATTATCAGAGCCCACAGTGTTTAACATCTGGCAGATGTTGAACAAGAAGGCTGGATGCACTGAACAAGCTCAGTTCAAGCTATACATTCACCCAACAAAGTTTCGTTTTCACAATAGTTTTAATGAATAAATGCAGCAATTATTTCAAAAAATGACACAAACCAATATTAACTTTACAGTGCAAGACTGCGCTAATTTGCATACAAAACTATTAATCTCAGTATTTTGATAGTATACTACTTTTCTGTAGTGATCACTTCAGCTTAACCAGTGTGCTCGCAATGACTTCAGTATAGTAATGAAAATACTAAACACAAACGTTGTCTTCTGCACTTCTATTTAAAGCAAAAGTTATCAAAGATCAAATTTTTAACTAGGATTAAATATTGTAAATCAAAACATAGTGCATTTGTGTTTTCACCACAATCATTTGGGGTCTCAGGCAAAGATAACTACAAATATAATTATACAGCAAGTTGCTCTGGTAATCAGAATTCAGTTGGTAGTTAGCTGAGAACATGAAGGAGACTTTATTACAGTAATATCTGAAATACTTAATAGACTTTGTAGAAAACAAACTGTTAGCTTTTCTTCAGAAATACCACTTGTAGTTGTCCGATGTTACTAAAATCAACTGAGCTAGTTAAAAGATTTAAAGGCTAGAATGCTCAGCTTCAGACCTGATTTTTTAAAAGCCCTTGCTGTAACTTTCAGCTTTACTTTAGCAAAAGCAACAGCTGCAAGTGTCTGTTCCAGCATTTATACAGGCCCCATTTTACACTGTGGCATTTCTCACATTCTGTTGAGGGGCCAAAGAGAACAGCTCTGTTCTGCTCACTTGTAGCCCTGCAGATTGGAAGGTGTGCCAGTTATCGACTCGCATCCTTGTAAGGAAGAATAGGGGCTGCAAAGTATGTGGCATTTCTCACATCCTGTTGAGGGGCCAAAGAGAAGAGCTCTGTTCTGCTCACTTGTACCCTGCAGATTGGAAGGTGTGCCAGTTATTGACTCGCATCCTTGTAAGGAAGAATAGGGGCTGCAAAGTGCCCACAAGCTTGAGTGGAATAGGTAACCCTCCTGTTCTGGTGGCAATTAAGACACAATAATCCTCCCTCAGCCCATCAGTTTAACTGCATACAGCCCAGTCTGTAATGCACTTCTATTAAAGTTATCTACATTAGCTTAACCAGTGTATAAAACCATTTTGTTGTTTTGCAGAACTTGGCTGGGGAGGTAGCTGGTGATAAATCTTAAATCTTGCTCAGCTACAACTAGAGTAGCATGACTTCAGTTTCCAACATCCTACCTATCCCACTCACTTGTGATATCTCACCTTCTGCTCTGCACAGAGATAGTGAAAACGCAAAAGCTAGGCTTATTGTGTCTGAGATGGATTATGCATGTCTGCTGCAGAACAAAACCCACATACAGTTTAATTAACTGAGAAAAGGATTAGTTCTCAATGGCTTTAACTGCATCACTCCAAAAATGCTCAGGAATGACAGGGATTGAGGTACAAAGCTGGTACAGTAGTAGGCATTAAGTTGAATTCTTTATTGGAAGGACTCAGTATCTGAAATGTAAGATTCATTCTCCTCTCTGTCTTTCCCTGTATATTCTGATTTGTCTTTGACTGATTAACATATTCTGGTTATCATGTTTATGTTATAGTACAACTTCCAGTTAGTACAAAAATGAGGCCAGAAGCATATCACAAATGCAAAGGTATTTTCAAAAACTGTTAATTCCACTTATTCCTATTTACTCCTGAGAAGGCAGTTTATACTGTCAAAGTAATAGAGATGCCCTATTACAGACAAATTTTAAGAATCTGTTTATTAAAATAGTTTCATTTACAGCTGTATCTGACATACCCAAGTCTGAGATCTTGCAAAGGCTAGAATGTTGATACTGCGTTTTGGTATGACCTATAGAAATACAGGCAAATGCAAGACTAACATTTCTCTACTGTACACAAGCCAATGCTGGTTTTTAATTCACAATGATCAGGGCAAGGTAAGTTTTTTCACATCTCTTATATATTCACATTACAACCAAAGAAATAGAACTGATGCCACATACCTGAGATACATTAGACCAGTAGTAGCAGTTAAAAATGTTTTTTAAAAATTTTTATCCCTACAGAGGTGTGATTCCTATAGCTGAAAACACCACCTTGATGTAGGCAGTGTATGCAGGCAACATATCTAACTTTGCAAAATTAAGCTTCAGCATGCTTAAGATAAAAGAAAGTGCCATACAGTTGCAAAGGTATAGCAATGAGCTCAATATTTCTTACACAAGTTTTTCATTAATCTGTAGAATTGTATAATAGAATATGGGCTTTTTTAATTGTTTTTCCAATTGGCTTTTTTAATAGTTTTTCTAATAAAATTATTTTTAACAATACAAATTAATACCAGATATGATAGGGATCAATGCAACAGCTATAAAAACCAAAATATTGTTCCTTTGACTTAGTTCTGAAAGCAGTCATAAATAGAAAGTGAAACAAATGAAGTATGACCGTTTTTATAGGTGCATGTTTGGAGCTTTTGGTGGCTGTTGGTTTTTTAATTTCAGAAAAGCCTCATTACGCTCAAATTTAAAATTACTTTCACATATCAGAAGTGGCTCAAGATCATAAATCAGGTCTTCTAAATTCCATTTACAGACGAGCCTACTTAGGAGCTGCTGAAGAAAAAGCTACATACTCCGGAAAGTGGTCATGTCCTTGGGCTCACTGCTTGGCACACACCAATCATCGGCTTCATGGTTTGCTTTATAATGTTTCCAGGCTGCTTTGTTGTATACAGGGAGTCTTTCAATTGATTCTGTTGATAAGGCCTGTAAGGAGAAAAGGTTCTAGCTGATGATTCTTTTTAGTTGAAGTTACCATAACAGAAGAAGGAGTTCTATTAGCAGTTCAGATTAGAGTTGCTGCTAAAATTAGAGTAGAATGTTACGTCATACCTTGATGTAAATAACTGCATCTGTACCATAGCCTTCTAAGGAATACAGTTTCAGGTCTCCTTGGAAGTACTGTGCATACAGACGTGATATGGGTAAGCCATAACCAAATCCAGCCTGATCAGGAGAAAAAGTATACTTCCATTAATTGCATTAATCAGTGGCATTTTCTGTTTAAACTTAATAGGTAAAATAGACAAACTAAGCATGATGTTTGACAGTAACAGGAGTTCAGGTGTTAACTATTAAGCTCTTCCCAAAGCTGTTATATACCCCAAAACCAGAAGAATGCATGAATTATTGTGATTATGAGAAAACTGTTTGATTCCTTTGTCAGGCAGGGCTGGCAGGTAACCCTTCTTGCACTATGGTAGCTGTTTGAAGAGATGCCATTGGAGAAAACTCTGCTGCATGTCTGCATCATGATTCATGGAGCTGCTAATCTGAATTACTCAGAGTTGTTAAGTCAAATACACATCAACATCATCAATATATATAAAAAAGGTACAAGACACAACGTCTATGACTTTGCAGCTCATACTGAAATTCTATCAAGCCCTGGCTGCAGTAGCAGGACAGAGCCCTGAAGTGTTAAGTGTGATTTTTTGTTTAAATACTAAATATTGTGTTTAAATACTAATTTTTGTTTAAGTTTTAGAGGTAATCTCTCAGCATACAGAACACTTCTCTGTAAAGATCTTGTGTTTAGTAAGTTGCAGAGTCATCTACATGCAGAACTACATATATTTTTAAATTATGCAATGTGGGAGAATAAATACAGGAAAGCTGTTCAGAGATTCTAATTTCTGAGAGCTTAGGCTTTATTTCTTGTGCATTTATTACATTCACATGAGACCAAAGTGGATTTTGCATATGCCCTGTCACATCTCTGTACCTTCATCCTTGCTGGGGGTTGGTACAATTGACTGCACAATACAAATGAACTATGGCCTTGATCTAAAATCACTGCTATAATTATTCCTTTCATTCAGTGGCTACAAAAACAATTCTGAATCCTGCCCTCACTGCAGTATGTACAGCATAGCTAAGTATTCTGCTTGACATGGCTGATCTTTAGATTTAGTAGAGAAAAAGAGAATCTTGATAACAAATTTAATTTTTTTTTTGTATTTTATGCCATTTTTCAGTTATTTTTTGAAAAATACTTTAATTAAGCTTGAATTAAGTAAAATTCAAATATTACTCAGTGTAATATCTATAAAATCAGCATTTCATAGATTTAGCTAAATGGTTTTTGGGACAATTAGACCTATGCATGACGCCATGGTATAAAAGTCTTGCATACCAAAGGTGTAGCTCGTGATGTCTCAACACGAGGACGTGGTGCTGTTGAATACATATAGTTGAACAGTCTGTCAATTTTCCTCATAGGAACACCACCACCACGGTCACTCATCTGGAACAAGAAGGAGCATTTAGCTTTATATCCCTGAATACATTTTTATAAAAGACAGTTTCTCTCAAACAATAAGCCAGAGAAAGTTACAATAAAGTATTATTTGAAGGTGTCCCTACTAAGTTACAGATTTTCTTTAATTCTCACCTTTAACAATGACCAAAGAGAGATGAATCCTTCACTTTCATCCTTTATCCAAACCATTAAATAAAATACTGCCATAAGAAGCATTCATAATCTCTTGGAGAAAAGGAAATTCTGCTTGAATTGTGCATTGCTTTTATCTTGTTCATCACACACTTTTGTCTGAAGTCACTATCTATACCTTTCAGCAAATGCTAGGTTCTCTGTGTATTTTATCTTTATTCCTCAAGAATACTGACATTTAAATATAATTTTACTAAAACCTATTGCTTGAAGGAGTAAGTCAAAGGAGTTGTTTTACTACAGTTTAGTTAGACCTGTGAAAAACGCTGTGCATGCAGCTGGTCTTTGAAATCAAAGATGGATGTTTTACAGAAAAAGGAAGCTGCAAACTGTACTTCAGGAGGTTTGTTTTGTGTGGAATATACAATATATACTTCCCTTTCTTCAGTTGTTTCACACCTGTTCACCTCTGTCATTGTCACTTAGAAAATGTTGATGTTAAAATTGTATAAAAGTGCTACTTCATTTTAAGTCATGGTTGCTTTTAAGCTAGGCAAGACACAAGCAAGTACAGGATGCTGTTGCAGAGCCCTCAGTGTGGCTGCAGCCTCTTCATGAGGCAGTATGTGAAACCCCATAAGCGTTCTTTACTTACATACATCATCACATACAATCTATTGATGGAACCAGATCACCAGCTCGAGTTACTAATGTGCTGCTCATGACAGGAAAAGAAAACCCTAATCAAAATAACTTTCAGAATAGTAAAAAAAGAAAAAATAGTACCTTCACAGTTAAATCCTCATTTCCCAACGTGATGTGTACATGAATTGCAGGATAAATGCATCGATCAGCATGATGTTCCATGGTGGCTCTCATTGCATTCTGTAATTTTCAAGTACAACTTAAATCCTATTCACTTTGTATATTAACTTAAAATATAATTTAGTAGTTATTTTAATCATGTATTTAAGAATCAGAACAAATGTATAATGGTTTAGAATGGGTTTTTTATATTCCTAGTTTATTCACTATCAATATATATTTAGTTATTACAATTATGAGACTTCAAATATTTAAGTTTTTTAAAGGAAAAGTGAATAGTTTAATGTACAGCATTTGTGTTCTAGAATTCTTTATAATGCACATAGTACATGCAATATGACACAAAGTCCAAGAAAAGTCTAGGACTAAACTGCTGGAGAAAAGCTCTGGAGGACATACTATGTATTTTACCAGATTTGAAAATACACAATTTATGAGATATCTTATTCTCACTTCTTTTATTAACTAATGTCATCATACATTTTAAGATTTAAACTGTTTATTCAGAAGGTATTCAGTGGCTAGGTTAAAGAGGTACATCTTCCAAAGCTGTTCATTTTCTGTGCAGTTATTGTTTCTCTAATAGTACAGAGTAGCTGTGTTGCTGCAGTCAAATGGCAAGAAGTTTGCACTTGCAAAAACATGCTGTGATCTAGAAACAATTTGAAAAGTCAAAGCAATGCAACCTCAGTAAACAAAGACGTATGAAAAAATTGTGTAATTAATGGTAAGTGCACAGACCTTGAAAAGTTCAAAAACCATGTGATAGAGATGTGATGGCACATACACCACTTGCATAGGCTGTCCTGGTGATTTAGCTGGAGAGAAGAGAGTCTAAATAACTAAATAGCAAATGAGATGTCTTTTATTCATTCCCACAGTAATTGAAAATGTGAATTTTTATTGTTAAATTTAAAGAAGGAAAATTTGAACAGAAATCCTTTGAAAAAATTTATGTTAATCAAAATGATGATTAAGATTTTCAAATGTTGCTTGCTGCTTTAGAAATTAATCTTAAAACCCACTATGGGATGACTGACTAGGGCATATCGTAGTTCTTTCAAATAACCTCCTCATAGGTATCACAAAGATGGAATACAAAGTCGTGTATAAATCTTTAACATGTCACAAGAAATGCAGAGAGGGTTAGATGCAGTAATGACATTGAAATCTTAGCAAGGGAAGGAGCCTGCTACAATTTGTTATATCAACAGCTGTAGAATCAAAAACTTCTACTCCTGTCAGTTTTCTGATTAAAGGGAGAAATGAGGAAAGCATTCTGTCAGATTTAAAAAACCCCAGTAGATACAGAGAACACATGAACTAGGTGAAAAGCAGAACATTTCACCACCAGCTCCTTTAAAGAAGCCATCATGATGTTCAAGAGCATGCCTTGTCCACATTCACTTACAATTCAACTCTTCAAGGATAAGTTCTGGAGAGCTCATGTAATATAAATCACAAAGTGTCTTGGCATTTTCATAGCCATCTATAATAAAAAACACAGGAAGTTACATTTCCCCCTCCCACTTTTTTTCTCCTTTAGAATCCGCCACAAAAAAATTTTGAAAGTACTGTGCACTGTCAGGGAGATTTGTACTTTTCATAAAAACTGCGTTTATAAGAAAAAGAAAAAAAGTTGTATTTTGCGTCAAATAAAACTCCTGCTCCTGGTAGGCAAGAACAAAACAATATATGCATATCAGGATGTGTGTCTACTCTTAGTATAGACTCTCATGTAAGTTTTCAGGATTCTTATCATCTGAATTTACCTTTAATAACTTCAACAACATTGCAGTTAGGATCGATGCTTCCAATATGTTTTGGATGAGCTGGATTAATTTTCCCACCAAACAGTAAAGCTGCCAAAAAAGAAAACATCATTTAATATCCAGCATAACTTTATAATGTTAGTTTGTGTCTTCTGTTTTGCTAAATAAAAAATCTATAGGCAATTTATAATTTCAGTCTTCACCATAATGAAAAGCCTACTATTAATAAATATTTTAGGAATTGTATTATGAATGAGTTATAAATGGCAAGGCAAATAGTATACTCCTAAGTGGCACCTTAGTACATATTAAGCACTTAAACATTAAAGGAAAATACAGTTGACATGGTACAGCTATCATTTCCCCTGCTTTCGACACTTACAGTGTTGATTAAGGAGCATTCTGATTGAAATGCGGCTCATGTAGAAGCGGTCTAAAAAATACTGCACGTTCTGAGAGGTCACTGGATCAATGCCAAAGCTTTCCTTGTATTCTATTACTCCTTGAGCCATCGTAGGAATTACATCATTGTGGCGATTCCGGATTTTTATCACGGTATCTGTAAAACTGAAATGAATACTTTGTTACTATTCACTTTCAAGGGAATTTAATCCTCCAGCAAACAGTGCCTGTCTACAAAAATGAAGACTTAACAAAAATATCACATCTGCCTATTGCAGTAAGAAGGCAGATCAATCTTTACAGCACATTTCAGGTGACTAGCATTGAAACAATCAGTAATCCACTATTCTGACTGTTTATAAAATTATTACTATTTATTATCTTGATTCTGCCAAGAATCAAGATTATAAATAAAGATATCAAGATAAAATTGTCTTGATATCTGCCAAGAGAAAGAAAAAACTATGCCAACTGTTTTCATGCAGAACAACCCATGCTTGTCAAATGGCACTTCTGGTCAGCCAGCACAGACCACAGCATTCTACAGAATGACATTATGCTGAAGTGCTTAATTTCCTGTTTTAATGTACCCTCCTTTTAGGGACAGGGGATGACATTGCTGCAATTCTTCTGTAAAAATTTGAGATAGGAATTTTTTTTTCAGCTATTGTTTTTTTGCCAGTTCTCCAATACAATATTAACAAGATATATGTGACAGCAAAGCATACCTGTGAATAGCCCCTGAATCTTCTGCACTTTTGTCCTTAAAGTCAAGAATCTCCTGAAGACTTTGGACGTACCTTTCAATGAAACAAAGAGGATAAAGATCAATTCTAATATGCCTCCCCAGATCTCTCTGATTAACAATTTGTGGTCTTCCAGTGTTTCATGTTTCCAAATCATTCTACCTGTCTCCCTGTGAATTTTGTTAGATTCCTTTGAATCCATTTATGATGTTTTCTTCCAAAATTTCCAGAGCAATGAATTCCACAATTTAATTAGAATGCATAAAATATCATCTTTGTGTTTTAAACCCAGTAGGCGATCACTTATTTGCAGCCCCTGCGTGTTCCTGTTAGTGGAAAAATCTTTCCATTTGTGCATCATTTAAGTATTTCTGCCATCCCTTTCCCCAAGCTGAAGAATTCTATTTGGTTTCTCCTCACGTAGAAATTGTTCCAACCCTTTGATTATCCCTCTTGGTCTTTTCTGTTCAGGATGGAGCTGCATGCAATTCAGGGTAATAATGGGCTAACATAGTGGTACAATTATATTCCTACCCATTGGCTATTTAGTTCCTAATAATATTTTCCTTCTGTCATCAACTGACATATGCAGAAAAATATTCCCCGTAGCATCAACATTTCTTTTTCCATGGTAAGGAAGCAAGCACACAGGAGAGGAGGTTCTTCCCTGTGTTCTACTTTGCATTTACCCAAATGGAATTAATTTCCCATTTGATCGGTGTCATCTAGTATCATGAGAATGTAAGCATTTGTGTTTCAGTGAGAATTCATTAAGCTATCTTCATTAATAGCTCTTTTCATATTCAGTCATCTAGTCAATCCCATTTACTGGCAGATTTTGGCAGATAACTTAAAAAACCTTTACAGAAATCCTTGTGCCTTTAGCAGTTGCCAAAGAATCTCTTTGTTTTGCTTTCATCTTTAAAAAGTTTATGCCTAAGTTTCTTACTTGGAAGCAATCTTTACTTTTCAAATAATGTATTTTACTTTAATACCTTCATGTTCTCTCTGTTGTTTTATGTTTTGGCTTTGGGAACTTTCTATTGCTTTTTCTTCATATTTTCTATACCTTTACTCTCAGTCTGCAATAACCTGTTTTGTAAATGGTTTCTGCTATGTTTTGCAAACATTTTGGACCTTAGTTTGCTTCTGTTGTTTTCTTCAACTAGCTTCTTCACTGTTAGGTAAGTTCCCTATTAAACACTCTTCTGCTGGATTTTTGTTTAAAAAAAAAAAATTTTGATTCCTCATGCAGGTGTGTGCAATACTTAATGATTTTTTTAATTCCCTTGGGGTTCTCTAATTGGTCCTAAATGCTTTTTTCCCACATCTGTAAATTTAGTTTCTGATCACACTGGTATATTTAGCATCTCAGTATTAATAAGCAATGTTCGTGTAACAAGCCTATGAATGTCCTTTCAGTAGAAGAGAGTAACTTCCTCCAACCTGTGTATGTGCAGGTCAGCCTTCAAGGAATGGAATGTCACTGTTCTTACCAGCTCTGCACCAGCTGAACTGAAGGTGTTCTTAGGAGGTTGTCTGGAAGCAAGCTTATTTCCTTCATTATGTTTGCCAATCTCACAGGCAGCTCTTGGCGCAGAAACATAAATGAAGTCTTTTCACAAGCATTTTCAGATCCTAAGACCAATATGACATCAGAATGAAGTCAATACTATGGTAGAGAACTGCACAAAGTTACTTTCTTGCATGAGAGGCCTATACCTTGATTTCAAAGCAGACTCCACCAGGCTGGTAAGCCAGTGTTTCATGGCAGCAGCCCACTTGTATTTCAAAATTTATCACATACTGAAACTTTCCTGTTGCAGTAATGAGAATCATCCATATATGAACAGAAAACAATGCAACAGTTACAGACCTATACTGTTCAATTTTAAATATGGCTTCTATCCACGTATATTGTTCACTTTATTTGCAGCAAACTCTAACCAGCACTGATCAAACAGTGTCACTCTGAGCACGTCAGAGAAGCAAATGAAACCAGCACAGGAAATTATTTATGAGAAGGATGCTTGAGAACGTATCACAGTCCCATACACTCTGCTTTTCATCACTGATTTAGTGAATTATAATAACTCATCCTCAAACACTTTCAAAAAATAAATTCAGTAATAGAGATCTCATTTTCAACTAAATCTGTTATAGTTTAAATTCAGTCTTACAGGAACAGAAGTCAGGTGAACGAACTCACATGAATAGTGAGAAAGAAATTAAAGTAGGACAGCTACTCTGCTTAGCCATTAGGATACTAATACATTCAAATGTTTACATTTTTAAAAGCTAGAAGTGAAAATACTACCTCTTGATAACCAACCAGTCCTTTTGTAAGAACAAGTGTCATCTGTGGGGGTGGCAATTAAATGTGGTTATTAAAATCAAGACCTGCTTTTACTCCCACAAAGCTTGTTTTCCTAGGTGAGAAAGGAGGGTGCAGCATGGGAAGAGACTAAGAAATGCTGTGCCTCGTTCTCAGCCAGACTTCTTTCTAGACTTAAAGACTGTCAGGTAAACAGCACCTGAACTTCCTAACCTGCCCATCTGCTGCAGTGAAGTGTACTCTTCAGGTCTGGTGTTTCACAACACGTCTCCTACAAATTAACTCCTGTGTTACTGCTCAGTTGACTCCTTTCATTTGGCAAGGGGAAGTTGGGGAAGAAGATTAACGGAAGGGATGAGGAAAGAAAAAAGGAAGCTGGGACTGCCTTAAACATGAAAAATCTTCACCACATTGAAATAGAGCAGTTTACTTTAAAGCATGCAGATTCAGACACATAAACTACACTGATGAAAGAATGTCAGTTAATAAAAAAGTGAATAATTTACAAGAAATTCCTCCACAATGGCACTTACCAGCATTATGCACTGTCTACATATGACCTCTGCCTAGAAACCTTTCATTCTTCTCCCCAGTCAGACTGCACAGGCATGACTGTTACTGGCCTTTCCTTTTTCTTGGGTAAAATTCCAAGAACAAATCAGATCAGAGGTATTAAAGTGTAAACATAATCGTTAAATGCCTCATATACTCAAAAAATTACATTTCACAAAATAGTTTTTGTATCTGAAGGCCTTATCTTTGCAATCAAATATGGAAGGCAGTATAGAGCAGGCAAATTGAACAGGCAAATGACTCTTCCCATGTGCAGCTACAGTCTATATCTAGGCAAAGAATGAGCAAAACTCCTACAGAAAATACTGTGGTCTTATAACCCAAGACTAGACCTAAATTTGCTTACAGAATATTTCATTTTTTTTAAGTTAGCTTTACCAGATTTTATTATTTCCTCTTTGACTGTTCTCACTCTTGCAAAAGCAGCAAAAAAAAAAACCTTAATGAAAACATCATCAGATTATAATAGCTGCAGAATGTCTTATAGAGAAATATTGTCTCTGTCTTGCAGTCTTTTATTTCTGTTATTAGTTTTTACTCTCTGTAAAGATTAAATCTGTAAGGATTAAATCCTTAAGCAAAAGAGAGGAAAAAATACTGTAGAAGTTTTCAAGATTATTTTTACCTTATGTTCAGGTACTAGGAGCAAAAAAAGTAGCCTATCTGTTGACACAAGGAAATAGTGTGCCTTGAAAATAAACGTTGATTTAATGGTAAGCATTTTATCAGTAGTGGTTAAATAATGCAGGTCAAAACAAACTCTGAATTGCAAGCTTCTTTGCTTAAAAGTACAGTAGCAACAGAACATATGGTGGAGTGCCTGTAGGAATCTGGTGTTTTAAATGTCAGATACATTTCATTGCCACAAGTGAAACATTAAATAGATGGATGAAGTGATAGCAGATAATTGAGAGAAAATCTTTATAAGTCTTCCTGCTTATACAAAGTTTGAGGTTCTAGGATTAGTTCTCACTTAGGTTTTACTTGCAAAACTATAAAAAAGCCATGAAACTATTAACTAGTTAAATATATAACATGTAAACACGTATGCACACCAAAGTGCCTTGGGTACAGAAACAGAACATACTATAGAATGGCTCCAACCTCAGGCTTTGAAGAGGTGTCTCAGTGTGACTTACACAACTCTCCTCTATGTGGTCTTTGCTTTGAAGCATAATAGAACAATTCCGGTGATCATTTTGTTTCCAAGCTGACAGTCAAACCTGGAAGCATTAGAAGTGGTTTTGGCACTGAGTGTAAGATTGAGTATCCTGTTACTGATTTACTCAATTTCAAGACTAGCTTCCAAACCCTCCAGGATGGCTCCGCGTGTCTGCATCCTGTTCCTTTTCTCACACACCTTTTAAAACGGCAACATTTGGCTAGGATGTTTCTGCAGGGCACAGGCCGAGTGACTGAGCGGTGATGACGGCTCCCTCGGTGCCAGCTGAGGCTGAACGCTTCACGTATTTGGAAGATGCCTTTAAAAGGCTGCCTGCCGCTCAGCGAAAGCTTAACCAGTCTCACCTGTCTGAGTCACTGCTCTAACGCTACCACTTGTCACAGCTGTTCCTATCCTCTCCCCAGCACCGCGGGTTCTGCAGGAAAACACCCGACTAGCCTGGTGGTGCCAAAAACTGGAGTTTCCAGCTACATTTCAACCTTGCCATAGTCGCGGTCTCCGGGAATGAGCCAGCTGGGCTCCCTTGCCCCAGAAGGAAGCAGAGCCCTTTTCTGCTAGGAACAGCATTAACAGATGGCAGCAGCCGGGCAGCGCTGACGGGGTGAGGGGTCGTGGCCGTCCCGCTCCTCACAAGCACCTGTGGGAGGAGGGGCAGCGGTCGAGGGCGGCTCGCCGGGGACTCACCGAAGTCCAGAAATTGCTTCATGGAGAGCGGCGAGGGCGAGAAGCGTGAGTAGAAGTCCACCTGCTGCGGGATGTTGCCCGCGGCAGCGCCGCGCAGAAGGGCGCGCAGCAGCCTCATGGTGCAGCTCCGTCCCCTCGGCTCAGCCCGGCCCGGCCGCCATTTCCCGCCGCGCCGCTCCCCCGGCCCCTGCCCAGGCCGCGGCCGCCTCCGCCGCGCCGCCGGGAGGAGGTGCCCGAGGGGGGTGGGTGTCTCCGCCCGGCCCGGCCCCGCCGCGGCGCGGGGCGGGGGAGAGGGCGGCTCTGAGGCACAGGGGCGGGGGTGCCCGGAGCTGCCCGGCGGCGCCTGAGGCGGACGCTCGGCTGTCCCCGGCGCCTTGAGGGCTCGACGGGAGGAGGCGACGCTCGCTTCGTGGAGGAGCCCGGCCACGCACAGGTACGCGACGTTACGGGTGCCGGTGCTTGCCCGGAGAAGGGCCGCGGGTGCGCCCTGCCCACAGGCGGGGAGCCGTGAGGGCTGTGGGTGCGGGGGCCGGGACCGCGACCGCGGGGGCCGCGGCGAGGCCGAGAGATGCCCGAGCACTCTTGCTTGGCATTGCGGTGCCCGGGGCTCGGCCATGCGGGCTCAGCGCTCCCGGGGCTCCCCCTCGGCCTGGGATGGAGCCGTGGTGGGCGGCAGGGACTCGAGGGCTGGGACGGGAACTGTAGAAACTCACAGAAGGGCCGGCAGGAGGGCAGAGCCTCACCCAGGCTTAAACAGCCGCGTGTCTTCTCACTATCGCACCTGTGTCTGCCCAGCTGCGGGGCGGGCTGGGGTTTCTTTTAGTTACCAGAAAAAAGATAATCAAACAAAAAACACAGAGGAAAAATAGGGCTTCTGCCTTTACAGGTACACTCCTGATAGGGCAGCAATGAACACAATGTGTCTGTGTTGGTAGAAAATCACTTGGACTGTGTCACAGTGAATCACTTAGCTGCCTGTTAAAATGCAACATGTGAGGTACCACGCTGTGTATTGAATGGTTTATTCTCCTGTTCTGTTAGGAATATCTAGAATACTAACAAAGAAGGCCATTAATAGTGATTATAAGCATTTCTGATAACTTACTACAGTATAGATGTTAAAGACGTCTTTGACACTAGGCTCTCATCTCCATCAGATCTATCAGCACAGATACATTTTGATACCTGGTAGCTTGAGCTAAGTGCCTCAAAAGAAGGAACCCTAGACAAAGAAATTCCTGGGCAACTATTATTACAGTCTAAACTCTGCACACAATAGTGTGGATCAATAGCCATAATAGAGTCTGGGCCCTTGACCTTAATTGCTTTGCTGTTTTGTTACCAGGTGTTTGCCACATGGTCATTTTCACATCCTCTTAGGTCTGTTTCTGTGGTAATTTCAGTCAGTTCTGTAGTCCATGTTATTATGTGGTTGCTCCAGCTATTAGTTTTTGAGTAATATTTAAATTGCAGTTTTGTCTATTCTAACTATTAATAATGTTTAGGCTGTTAATTCCAGGTTTCACTGTGATCCATCTTTGACTAATGCAACATAGCCACATAGCTCAGCTTGCTATAACAATTCTAGCTACTTATGCCAAGCAAGCACTTAGCTACTTTCAAATAATAGAATTTTTCAATAATACTACCCTTGTTTTGGTAATCATACCTGCTTCAATAATTTAGTATTTGATACAAGTTTAACCTCGTGCCCTAGCAGAGTTTGAAGGCAAGGTTCACTCTGTTAATTACTACATAGGCCGTAATTCACACGCAGGCACAGAGGTGTGTACATCTATACCTGTGTACAAAGTGGCTATGAAACGTTCCCCTTGAGTTCACTGGAATGCATCAAATCCATTTACATTTTTCAAGAGTTGCTCCTTGAGGGCTGTAGGAGGATGGTCTTTCCTGTATGGCAGGATTGAGGGTTCATGGTCACAGCCTGCTGGGATGTGGGAGAGTTCAAAGGGCCTCTCTTGGTACTGCTCTCTATTGGGTCAGGAGATGCTTGACTTTAGTCAAAAATATGTTTCCATCCTAGCCATAAACCAAGTTTTGAAGTAGTGGAAATTTTGGGGGAGAAAAGTCTAGTAACAATGGTGCAGTTTCATTTGCACTGCAGCTGAGGGTGATAGCTCCTGAAATCATAGAGCAGGCCTGAGCAGCTGTGGGAGGGAATGCACCACCACAATTCTCCCATGTCTGAAGTCAGTTCAGGTGCTCCACAGAGTGACAGGGTGGTCACCTCTTGCTTCTCTGCCTATAAACAGGTTAATGCTATGTTCCAGTTGTAATTGGAAGGAAGTTTTTGGTTACATAATTATTATGGTTTTGTTAAATGTTAATAATATGTATCAGGAACACCTCTTCAACAGTGCCAAGTTACTCTCCACACTACACCATACTGAAATACTGTTCAATAAGAAGCTTTATCCCAGTTTACCTTTTGCATTTCAGTGGGCAAGGTGCCCTCATGACCTTCCCTTATAATTACTGTTAGCAGTAGATTTTACCCACAGTGAAGAAACATATATAGTGTGCAGTGTGCTATAGTTACCATATTGATTAAAATAATGAAAAGAAGTGAAGGTCTCCAGCCTGTGGGAATTTGCTGATGTGTGAATGAAATTTGGTTCGTGCTGGCAATGCTTGCTCCTGTGAGAAGCATAAGCAATCTTTTGATGGCTAACCTGATCTCCAGTGGAGATACCAATGCTGGTATCATTCCCAGTGCCATTCCTGAAAAGAGAAAAACAATATCAATAGTGGATCATGCCCTGCATTCATTTGCTTTTTCTATTGTGGATACTAGTATTCGCCTCATAAATTTCTTAACTAACTTTTCAACATTGATTGGTTTCCTGTGAACAAACCTTGTACCTGTGACTTGTGTATGACATGATAGTGGGGATGGCTATCCTGTGGCATCCACTAGAGCAGTTCTGATACAGCAATCACATTAATCCGTTCAGTGCTTTGTTGGATTCCTCCCATTAAGGTTGCCTAATTTCTTGTTAATGTTGCATTGAAAACAGAAAATATTTGATTCAGTCAGCCTCCAGATGCAGCTTCCTGGTGCATTTTCCTGAACTGCACCAAAAGTATGTGAGAATGAAGCAGGATTAGACTGCTTTTTTCATCTGGTTTGTAATCCAATTAATCTTTATCCTGCAAACAGAATGGTTTGTTCTGCTCTGGCCAGGGACTGGTGGCTAATTGGGCAAACAGACAGCTTGTCTGTCTCTGCAAGACTTCTACAAATGCAGCTTGTTGGCAGGTTTTGCTTTTTGCAGCTGGTAGGCCACTCCAGGAACACCATGGTGTAGCTCATGCTGCTCAAGTTTGTACTAGTTTGGAACTTGTACTTGAGAATTGCTGTGCACAAAACCACTTCATAATGGCCTCTCAGCTGTGAGCCAGCACTAGTTTAAAGCAGTGCCTACAAGCAGTACAAGGAGTCTTTGTAAACTGCTGCAATTTCTTATGGCTCTGGATTGGCTTCATCTTTTAGATCTATATATTACTGTGCTGTTGTTTTGTGTTTCAGCTTTACAGACATGCCTTAAAAACTGGCCTTCTGCCTAAACTTATCTTTGCACAGCAGTCCCCAGCCACAAGATATGGCAAAGGGTGCCAGAGGTTAAATAAAACATTGTTCATTGTAAGCTAGGGACCATACATAGTCAGGGTAAAGCACTTTTCTCAGAAAAAGTTGTGCAGGATGAGCAGTCACAGAAGTAACTGTGGATAAAAGAATGGTGGACATTCTTTAAATGCTGTGGTCAGAGAAGAACCTCTCTATTTACCTAATGGTGTTTTCCTCATCTTGTTTCTACAATTGATCAGATCCTGATCTATGTAAATATGTTCTGTTAGAGCATTCAAAATTTTCACCAATATTCTTTCTCTCCTAAAACTTGTTTCTCTCACTGATGATTTTCTAGGGGCTTGCTCTGATGTGATCCAGTGTGACACTGGCCAGAGCTCTAATGTACTAATTTCTGTAAATTCTTATGCCAACTAAAAAGGAGAAATGCATTATTTTCATTATTTTGCATTTTTCCTACTCATAGTCATGCTTATTGGTGTTGTTGAAATTCTGATACATCTGGATCAATAATTTAAATGGGACAGAACAATTCAGACCTCAAAAGAACCGAAAACACAATGTTTTGTTGAATTTCAATTTATTTTTTAAGTTCTAATATTGCAGGGTGTTACATAGAAAGAGTTTCTTGTTTGTTAAGGTGTTATGGAAGTCATCAGTTCTTGGGTGCTGCATGTACTAGTACTTTTTTCCTTTTCTTTAAGGTCTTCCAAACTAGGTGCAAGTCAGATTAAGAGAAAAGCTTAAGTTGCCAGGTGTGAGTATCCTTAGAATATTTCTTTCTTTCCTTTCAGTGGTTTATATGCTTGGCTGCAATGCCTGCACGGTCACCTGGGACCACACACCATCTAGCCAGCTTGTGTACTTAACCTGCACAAATTGTTTGTTGTTCTTAGGTTTGTCTTCATTCTCAGGTTTTTGTCAGTAAATTGAGCTTTTGCCATGCTAGACAAATTCTGAGAGTTACACTGTTTTGTGTGGCTTTGGTCTCTTTCTTGTGAGGAACTATGACCCTTATGGGGCTTTTCCAATTTGAGATACTCTTATGGATGACTTTTAGATACAGGAAAAATATACTACATACTACTGAAGTTAAGCATTAACATTTTTGGGGAACAGGAACAGCAAAGTATTTTGCAGACATTGTGGACAACTCTCAGCAGCTGTCAGAGGTGGGCTGCTGGTCTGGGCGGATCTGCGGTCAGTTCCAGGGTGGCTGTTGTCATGTTGTTCCTGCTTGCTAAGCTGGAATTGCTCAGAGTGCCTCGTAAGCAGGCTGGCAGTGATGCTCTGTTCTGGGGTACCCTGCTGGACCCCTCCACTGCAAGAAACCAGGCAGTATCCTGCAGACATTTAATTTAACTTATCCGTTGCATTATTTCATATGTTCCTAGCAAAAGTATTTGACTCCTTTGTCCCTTCCTTCCCTATCCCCCCAAGACACTGGGATTAAGGGATAGAATACATGGTTAGCATTGTGTATCAGTGACAAAGGGGATTTATCTTGGTCTGCAGCAGCAAGGACACCTCTTGCAAAAATCTGTTCTCTGTGTTTTCTGAGATATTTGAGGCAGGTAGGGCCCTGAAAAGGTGCAGCTTGCAAACATTTTGCAGAGCTAGAAAAGGAAGAAAGGGGTCTTTCTTGCAATATGAAAAATGCAAACTGCAGGTCCCCAACCCCTTCATAGTGACAATGTCCCACCTTGGCTGGGGTTTAAGGCCTGTTACAGCAGCAGTCTTTTGGGATAAGGAGTTTTGTGGTGGTTTTTTTTACAAGGCTTACAAGGTTAGGACTCAGCAAGGTTTATGAGCCTGTAAAAGTTGTATAGTATGAATTATGACTCTGGGGCCTGGAAGGATAGACATTGAAAGGTGTCTGAGGACTGGAGTAGAAAAGTAAAGCAACTGGTTACACAATCCCTACAGGGAAACACACTCACGCTCTTCTAGTGCCACACAGCTGTGCTGCCTGCTGAGGCAGCTGCAGCACGCCCAGGCGTGTGCACAGCCTGCTGCTGGCTCAGAGCACGAGCTGCAGTTGCCTGGTTGTTTCATCACAGCTTGGTCTCCTGGCCTCTGCACTCCAACTGCTGACACACTTGATTTGTGCTGGGAGAAGCTGCTGCAGTGTTGAACATGAGCAGCTCTCTGGTTCTGTGCAGTGGAGTTAAGACACTGCAGCCATTGCAGTAAGTGTGCTTTATGGGGACTGGTGATTCAGTGCCCCTTTCAGAAATTTCCTTTTACCCCATGTGCTGATTCTTGATTGGTGTCCAGCTGAGCACCCTGTTGCCTCTCTTTTTCCACATATAACTCTTATGGACAGGTGGCTACTGGAACTGAGCTGCGGTGGTCCCTTAAATTGAAAGGTGTATTCTCTTATAAGTTGTCTGCTGTGCCGCAGCAGTTACACATATGGGAAAGTACTGCAGTTCACCAACATTCTATTTCTGTACTTTGGACAATATAGAGTGTGTATATAAAACACACACCATACATAGTGAACATTAAGTTTTATATATCACATATTTGCATACATTTTGTACACATACACTGTTAGAGTGCTGTACCACTGTATATGTTGTGTAGACTACACCTGCTACTATTATGTATGTGTATGGTATGTATAAGCATACATAAAAAGCCAAATATGATAGATTTGTTCAAAACTTACTATAATCAGCTACTTAACTGTTCTGCCAGTTGACATTTTGTCTTGTTGTAGACAAATGTTTGTGGCCATCATGTAAAGGAGAGTAATTGCTTAATAAGAGCAGGTTGAGTTCTTATCTTTGAGATGCTCTGAAGGGTCTAGTTCTGGAAGCTTCTTGGCCTCAACAACAAGGAGTTGCCTAGCATATATCCAGCTAACCTTTTTCTTCAGGCTTTGTTACATCAAAAGGCCTTTCAGCAACAATGAGTAAAAGCATCCCATGAGGGCTGACATCTTAGAGGTGGGGCCATATTTTGTCTGATGGTTTGATGGGATTTTTTCCCCTGCATAATTCTGGCTTTTCCATAGGGCATTTTTGGTGGACTCAAAACTACCCTGAATTGTGTTATCTCAAATTTCCACTGCTAAATACAAATAGGTATGCAAAGTCCTTGACCAATTTTGGGGGATGTATCCATCACCACTACTTACTCAAATACTTTTTTGGCACTATTTAAGAAGATTTGTAGCACGTTGCTTGCATGGAAGGGCTCCGGGGCAGCACGAGTGCAAGCAGGGAGAGGGGAGAGAGGAGCCGCGTCCCGGCAGGCGCTGGCACGTGCTGCCCTGCCTCCTGCCAGCGCCGGCAATGGCAGCAAGCAGCAGAGCCTGCGAGCCTGAGACTGCTTAGCTCCTGCTGCTCCTCATCTGCCCCTTGCATGGAGCAGGGCAGAGAGCTACAGCAGTGCTGACAGAGAACTTGTTAAAGCCTGCCACTTCCAGCCTGTTCTTCTAGGGAACTTAGCTGTGGCCACCTCAGTTAAGTATGGTAAAATAACTATTACCAAGACCATCTTTAATTTAAAAAAATTTATTTCACACTTCTATACAAATATCCACAGGTAACTTCTAATCATGGAATGATGTAGCATTCTTAGCTGGTATAACAGAAGTTTGAGATAAAAATATACCAGTGACGTGACTTATTTTTCAAGAACTTTAACACTGCTAAGACATTCATGTTCTTAGATGAGGGCCACAATCTGATTTTATACTCAAGGGTATTTCTCAAGCTTCTTAGCCCCTGATTAGCCTGGCTTCTGATGCTGCTGAGCTTTTAAGCAAATAAGCTAGGATTCTAAAATATATTAATACATTATTAATTATGTATTAATATCTAAATATATTAATACATAATTATTATGTAAGCACTCATTAAGTCAGGGTCATAACATACTGAGATTATCTAGTTTAACAGACTCATCTTAGTTAATACTAAAGGTAACTTTTTAGGTGACCACACCTTCCAAGAAGGTACATTCAAAGTTAGCAGTAAAAATAAGATACTTGACAACTGCCCTCCTAGCAGGTTTTTACCCTATGAAGGGAAAAAGTACCAAGAGGTTTTTGCATAGTTCATAGTACAAGCAATTAACATGCATACTTTTTGAGCAGAATCTTGTTCCACATGGAATACACAACTGTGAGCTAAATCTGTTCTTAAATAGTACCAAGGCTTTAGAATATGGGTAAAAAAGTAAACTCTTTAAATCATTTTCTCAGTTATGTTACAATAACCAAATTACTAATAACGTGGTTCTGCTTTTATCAACATTCAGGTATTCAAGATGATTCAGTAGTCTCAACGTGGATCAGCTCAGATCCCAACAGTTAAGGTGAGTAAGGCTCTGTAGCCTCCAAGTGCTATACAACAGTTGCAGTAGTCAAGGCCTTTTGCCAACCTGGAAGTCCTTATGAAGCTGGAAAGAGGTTTCCAAAGGACTTTTCACTTTCTTGCAGTGAGTATAAAATGGCATCTAAAATATTACTTCAATTTGGTGTCCAAATTTGTTAAACAGTCCACAGTAATATACAAATCATGTTACAGGACCTGATGTTACAAGCATCAGGAAAAGAAAGCACCCATACACATCATTTGCATAAATATTTACATTTTAGAAAGCATTGGCACCTTCAGTGATTTATTAAAATGCAGTAAAAGCCTCAGGTCTCATAATTTGAAGTTCAAACACAGACACAAAAACCAGAACAGTGGATTTAAAAATTCAGTAGTCTTCAGCCTACCAGTTAGTCAGACAATGATTTAAAATAAAAATAAATACAAAAATGACTAAAATATATATATACAGAAAGTACATCTAATATTCAAGCCTCTCTTAAAAAAACCTGTGTGTATTTGGTGTGAGCAAGAATCACACAATCTGATCTTAAAAAAAAATAACCCAAAATCAAACAACATAACCCATTGCACGTGTAATTTAAGATGATGCTTTTGTTAAGCCCTAACTACTGCAGCAGGCAAAGGTTATGACTAAAGCAGACTCGCAGGTCTTCAGTTATACTTGAACAAAGTGTGATAAGGCCACTGTGTGTTTATAAAGCACTGTGCATTGAGGGAACAATGGAGAACTCATCTTGACCTTAATCATGCATGCCTTAAATAACTAGGAAGAAAGTCAGGAGCACGGGAGGATCAGAAGGTCTGCTGTAGTGGTTTTGCTTATTCTGCAGAAAAGACCCCAATTCAGCATAATATTATCTGAAGTGTGGGTTAGATTTAAGAGGGTGTAGAGGCAGTGTGGAAATTAAATAAGGCAAATGAAGTCTGTTGAAGCCATTTTAACTGTGCAAATAAAAGGCTCAACGTAAGTAGTAATATCTACAATCAAATGGTGAATGTCCGTAGTGTTCACAAGTCTAACTCCATCAGTATTCCATGAATGAAAACCTTAACCTCTACCTGAACTTTGTGCATGAACAACATTTTTGCCTAAGAGTAACTTTCATTTTCATTCCATTTGGTGAACCACTGTTTTGTCTCAAGGTCTTGGCTTTTCCCATGCTTGATCTGTCGCTCCTCTTTTCGAATTCTTACAGCGTGATAGCGGGGGACACTGTCTTCGTACCTGGAACGCCGGAAGAACCCGCACTGCCACAGAAGGAAAGGAACAGTTTAGCTGAAAGTTGCTGCCAAGGTACTACAACTGCAGAGGCAGTGAATTCCTCCTTCACACAAATATACAGGTAAGAAAATTGAAAAAATAATGTAGCATATTTAGCTGTAAAATGTGAGCCAAGAGGTCTGCATTAGCTGTTCAGCAGCAGTTAAAGACAAAGGGCATGCTCTGACTATCCATGGTAATCAAATACCTTAAAAAGACTCCCTCCAGTACAAAGCTGTTCATTCATCTAATAAGGACGTTTACTGCTACACACAGGAAAGCTGCTTCTCCTGAATCAAAGGGAGGTATGTACTTCAGTGTCTTCCTGTATGATGACATGATTTACCCTTAAGAACCTACAGAAAGATTTCCAGAACATTCAAAGAAAGTCACCCTAAGGGCCTTGGTTCTCAAAGCACCATTTCCACTTCAGTCACCTGAACTAACTACACATATCCTGTATTAGAAGTATGAGTCTTGCTTGCCATGGGAAGTCACCCTGGCTGAAACCTGTAACACTTATTTGCATTCCACAGTTTTTATTCAAAGCTGCTGTAAAAACTGATTGTGAATATTGAGGAATGGACTAAAATTAATTTCCAAAACAAAAGGGAGCCATGGCCACAATATACAAAGATAACAACTGCTACACACTCAGCTTTACATCCTTATGGATCACAGATCATCCTTATAGACCAAGATTCAGGTTGAGACACTGTGCCATCCAGCTGACATTAGATACTGCTGGGGGTAAGAAGATGTTAAAGCAAGAAAGTTTTCTTTCGTAGTATTTAGGGTGCTGGATTTTCTGCTTCCGTTTGGTCAATGGTTTGGGGTTTTTTAATATTAGAAATGAATTTTAAAAAATTACAGTGAGCAAAGACCAAGTTTTTAGCCACCTCATAGTTTCATTAAATACTATTTTGAAATAATTAATGAAGAATTCCTCCCCACTCCCTTATCCCAAGCACGCTTATGGATACAATGTACATGCGTGTAATGTCTTAAGTGGAATCAAGGTTGCTGGAAGCATAAATCATGCATCTTCTAACTTCAGCAAAGTGTATTCCTAGAGAAGTACACCTAAGAACTCAAGTAAAACTGATGTTTCCACAGCAATAAATTCTCATTATGAAAACCCTTCTCCGATGTAAGCAACATGTACAGCATGCACTAAAGGTTAGTAAAGCAAATTTATGTATTGTTGCTGTAGTCTTATCTTTCCATCTTAACTCTACAGTGTTGATTTCCATCTTGCAAGCTTAAAGACTTACTTGTAATGTTAAAGCATAAATTAAAAAAAAACACTGAAGCCCAGATCACCATGGTTTTTGAAAAAAAAAAAAAAAAAAAGAAGCATTTTAGACCAGGGTAAACCTCTGTGTGTTCACATGCACCAAAAGCTGAAAATCTATCAACAGAAGGAGCAAGCAAGTATGATAGCTTGAAATCCAAAAGTTAATAGAACTTATGCAGAAGAAGCTTCACAGTTAGCCACTGCAACCATAGCATGTGCCACAGCTAGAAATTAAAAAACATCATCAGTTACCAATTACAGAAGTAGATCAGTACTATGCATCAGAAGTAAGTCTCTCTTTATCAGATGGCTGAGCATGGATCTCAGCCTTGTGATATGTGGCATCGTAATGATCTTTCTTATTTCTCTTGAAGAAACCACACTACAAGGAAGCAAGGTATTTAGTCATTTTTTGTGGACTGGAAAAAGTCAAACCTATTAAAACTGACTTAAGTTTGTCAACTGTCTTCCCATTATCCCTTCACAGGTCAAAGAAACAAAAATAAAAAAGTCATCACAAGAACTCAGCTGTTTCTAGATCTGAGAACTTCTCAGGCTAACTTGATCTATACAATGACAGAATAAAATAACCTGAGTTATTAACAGACTAACCTGAGAATATTATTTCAGAGACATTTTGATAAATTTGTAGAGAATATGGGGTATTTTTAAGAAAAGCTACAATAAAGAATGTCCACAGCAAGTGAACCTGGCTGTGACAGAAACCTGTTTGTGGACTAGTGCATGGGACAGACAAAAGCACAGGGTGTAGAGGAAAAGCAGGTACTGCTTTGGCCCCTTCAATATAAGCTTTTGTCTTAAACCAATGATGTATCTGTCTTTCCAGTACGATGTTTGTCCTTCACAGAACATCACAGTCTGTCTCATCAAAACCAGCATTTTTCACTGTGTGTGCATGTGAAAAATGTTTGTCATTTTTGTGCACAGTAGAACAGTAGTAGCTAGAACCTAACAGTCTACCCAGTATACACTCATCAGGAGTATTTACAGGAGCAGCTGGGAATTTTTTAGAAATAAGGAAAGCAGGACTATTCTATAGAAAGTAACTTGCAGCAAATAGCTCCTCAAAGCTAACTGGTGCAGTTTCACTGAAAAAAAAAAGTGACAGATGGGATATTCTTCACCTCCTCTTCCTTAATAACCTTCTGCTGTCCTGTAACAGCAAATACTAACTGCCTACACCTATAAAAACTCAGAATAAAAGGATTGCTCTGTTATACTTGGGACCACAAATAATTGACATTTTTACAAAGGTAATTAGAAAAAAGATACTTGACTTTTTCTTTTGCAAATAGTTAACCATTTGTTATAGCTCTTCATTTCTTTAAGGTTTCTAATACAAAAAAGCAGTAATAAGAAGTTCACCAGCACACATGGCTATGTATTAATACTGTGCTTTTGGTTATTTCTATCTACTATCAGTTTAATGGTATTTCTGATGTTATGAGAACAGCACACTACTAAATCATTTGTAAATAGCTCACATGAAGTTTTACACCTAACTGCAGAGGTTCCCAATGGTTCCATCCATCTGTATCAAACTATGGCCTCTGAACATTTGTCTCAAGTTTTGTCTGGAGCTCAAACTACTTCCTTTTGAGGATGTGAAAACAGAAACATTATGTGACAAGTCTGCCTGTACAACCATTTTCATTCCAAGTGCTGCAAAACTGAGAAACTGATAATGTATGATTTGTGCAGTTTTGCCCTATTTTGAGTCCCAAATACTTAATTAGTTTGCTATCTTGTCAGTTATAGACCAGAAAATAAAAAATAACCAGCTTAATAAAAGCTCACCTTCCATAGTAAGAATACCAACAGTGCAAGCATGAGTATTCCAGCAAGGATAGCCACTGCAATGATCCACCATGGAACTCCTGTATAAAGGGCTACTGGTTTTGCAGGAAACACAGTAACACGCACCTGTGGACAGAAAATGTGCAGGTGAAAGGAGTATTTTAGAAGGTACATGTTTCATTAGAAAGCTGCAATATAAATAGTCTTACCTCTCCTCTAACAAGATGTCTTCTACAAAATGCTTTTAAAGAAAAAGTTCCCTCTGGTATCATTTGATTATGGTAATGAATTTTTTCAACCCCATTAAAAGGTAAAAATTATCAATAATTCAAAACTCAGTTAAAAAGTTAAAACTTTTAGCTAGTTTTGTTTTAAATTTTTGTAATTCCTGGTCTTTGGAGATAAGATTAGAACAACCACAACACATGGTTAGCATTAAACACTGAACCTACCTGAGCAACTTCATTTGTGAGTTTAACATTCTTAGCTGCAGCAGGAACACTGATAGAAGCCCTAACAACAATGTCAAGGTAATTCATTTTTGAGTATTCCTGTTCCAAAATAAAATACAAATATTAAACACAGAACAGGAAAGAACTCTGACCTTTCAAAAAGGGCAGGTAAGAGGACTCACCTCTAAGAAGGTGCTGTTCCACAGCCTGGAACGCAGCACAATAGATGCCTTGCTGTCAAAACCCTTCAGGGGACACTTTATATCCACACAGCGTGCATTCACATTGCAGCTCTGCAATTACAGATTCCTCCATGTGAATAAGATCAAGTCATCACAGATTGTTTAAACCTCATCCCAAGGTTAAAGAGTGGATTATATGCAGCATACCTACATGCAAGAACCACTATCTGTTTGTACTGACAGCAATGGGAAAATATAATGAAGATGTTATTACTTGCTTATTTTAAGGTAAGTAACTATGCAGATATTCTCTCCTAGTTCTTCCTCACAGCAGATGATCTAAATGTTCAAATTTTAAAAGCATCAATATTTGGATATAAGATAAAAAAAGGGAAAGAGAATTTCTTTCACCCCACCAAACTCAGAAAAGCCCTCTTTTGAGGGCCAAGGGAGGTATCTGACAAGAATACAGCTGTTGCAATATCCTTACCAAGGTCTTGTATTTTCTTTCTGAAAATAAAGAAAATGCCTGGCTGTCTGTAATCTGCTTCTCTGCAATTTCACGTTTTCTTCTTGAGTTATGGGATTCCTAGAAGGAAAAAAAGTAAAAAGCTAAAAAGCAGTTTATCCTAAGAATTTTTTAATTCATACAAGCAGAGAAACTAGAGCTCAGTGTTTTCTTCCAAAATCAGCACAACTGACAGCATTATATATCCCTACTTACCTAAAGAAATTAGAGCTCAGTGTTTTCTTCTTCCAAAATCAGCACAACTGACAGCATTATATATCCCTACTTACCTACATTTACTGCTAAGAATAAAATTTGAGATTACCAAAAGAAAGGCCAACAGACTATTTTCTTTAATAGGGCAAGCGGAGGTTTAGATTCATAAAGCTTTTAATGCTATTTCCATTTTTATTTCTAGATAAAGGGTATTAATGGTACTCTGTTAAAAGAGTAAGAATGTGCTAAGGTCAGTAGATACAGTTTTTTTAACTATATACTAATTACACTCACTTCAAGTTATATTAACTAATACAGTGATCTGACAAAAACAGGTTTGTGTGCATGCAGTTTTAATGGTGGAAAATAAAAACTCCTCCCATATAATCTTAAGATTATATGAAGAAGGCAAAAATGCAGCTTAAGTTTTAGGAAAAATATTTTGCTAGATAGGCACAGTCCAGGGCTATGAAAATTGCTTTTTATTATAATTGTTGTAAATAAATAAATTTAAGTTCAAGCCCCTTATCTTCAAAACAAGAACATGGAATGGCCCTAGGTTGGGAAGATATTTGGTTATTTATTATTTTTTGAGTAAGAACTCAGCTG